GATGCCGCTGAACTACCAACTGTATCCACGACTATGGAAGCATCTCAGTGGGGGTTATTTGATACGATGGAGGGCAGCGCGTTGGGACAGATCGAAGACATGTTCCCGACCTCCTCCTGGCATGAAAGCTCCACAGCCATACCCTCCACCACCGAGGCCAGCACAGATTCACCCACCAGCGTGCTGAGCCCTGGTTTCGGACACGTAGACGAGGAGTTGATTACCATCACCATATCCGATTCATTGGGCTCAGACTCAGGCTCAGGAATGTTTGTGGAGTTGACGCAAAACGTTCAAAACCATGGTCGACTATTCAGTAATGGTAAATATCTTATATTCGCCTCAATAATCAATCCTGCAGTCATTATTATGGTGTCTTTTTTGATTGCCTGTGCAAGAGTTAACTTTTTTTTTTTCTGTTCCTTCACGGTAAAGAAACACCAGAGAAGATAAATTCTCCCATCCCAGACCCAGAACAGCACAAAGGACACAGTACACCAGGTGAGTCCAGCAAACATATAATAAATTAAAATACATTTCTGCTTCATTAAGCTCTAGTTTCAGACATTTCATGTTTAGTAACGCCTACTCTCCCATATGTGCAGGTTGGATCATTATCGTCGGTTTCATCGTCGGTGTCGCAGCACTTGTGATGCTCTGCGTTGCCATCGCTACTAGAGACAAGTGAGTTTTCAACATCAGAAGCAAAAAAAACAGCAATATTAGTGACTGTAACCTCTTTGAGCAAAGATAATTAAACTCCCCTCGTTGCGCAGGTGGAACGGACCACGCCAGGCGTCCACAGCAAACACCGAACCCAACCCCTCCAACCAGCAGAGGGCGGTGGAGATGGAGACTTTCCTGCGCAAGGACGAGCCCAGGGAGAACGGAAAGGCGGCAGAGTACACGGTGATCCCCCTGGACGAGCTTTCAGAGAGTTATTCTTAACAGCGAGGCTCGCGAACGGACTCTCCGGAGGCCCGACACCCATCACACAAACCCTAAGACTGTATTCGAAGCAGATGAATTCGATCAGAGGAGCCGAGCTGTCCAAAAAATGTTGTTGTATTACTGAGGAATTAGACGGCTCTGAGCCTCGTACGAATGTTGGTCTGTTTTTTTGGTTTTTTTCCCTGCTGACTTTTAAAAGCTTTTACTTTTACTTTGAAGCTGCGGCAATGTGTCACTTCATATATTTATTGAGATTTGTTAATCTCATATACAATATAGAAAACTGGTCAGGTAGTGTGAATGTCATTTATTTCAAAAAAATGCAGCTGAAAAGTCTTTACAGTGTTTTGTTTTTTTTCTCCTTGGTTTTCCGTTGTAATTATTATTGTGTGTGTTTTTATCATGTGTTTGTAATGATCTCATTGAAGACTGTTGTGGATTGTAACTTATTTTAAGCTGCTGTTGTTTTCTCGTGTTCGTCACGGACGCTCGGAGCACCGAACTGTGCTCAGCCTGCAATACTTCCTCCTGTCGGTCCAAACAGCACCTGAGCTGCTGCATGGTGCACTTATTGACCGTTCATTTCCTGTACCCTCCTTTCCAGTGACAAATAAACACAACGGTGGTTCATCAATAAACATTTATTTGTTTCCGTTAATATTTACATACAAGTATTAAAACCTTTACACACTTTCAGTCCATTTGCCGGACAAATACTTTTTTTTGTTTGTTTTTTTTGCGGTATTTATTTGGTCCATTCAGTCCTACTTTAGTCAAGAAAGTAAAAGGGACATTTTTTTTTAATACATTCTTGGACCAATATGTGCATAGAATCAAAAAGAAAAGATAGAAAATAGAAGTTTTATCGTCTAAAGGTGGTACAATTCCTGTTCATGTTGATAGAAAACACTCGCTACGCTCGGCCAGTCAGCTAAGAACAACGCAGAACAACGAGCAAATGAACTAGATGAGGTAATGAATTAATAAACGATGGGGTTTTGACATGAAATTCAGGGTATGCTCATAATTTATGAGACAGACTCTCTTCCAACGCTGGACGGCTTACTGAGGTCAACAACAAGTAGACAAACTGTAGCTGCCGACATTCTCACCCAGAACCGCCTCAGAGCCTTTAAATCACCAACATGGGTCATGAACAACATTCATAAGAGAAAAGTGACAAATATTGGACTCGCTTTCCTGGAAAACCATTTTGAAGTTTCTCCTAAAAACAGCATTTTTTTTTGCAGATAAATAACGCTAAATTCACAACCTACGGAGACATCTAGTGGCCCATCGAAGAAAACTTACTTTGCACTAACATCGCTGCATACATGTATATTTATATATATATATATGTGTAGTTATAGTCTTTATAGAAATGTTTAGCATAACAAAAAACAAATATGATGACAAAAGGTACTATACATTTGATTTGTACATTTTTTTTTATCTAAAGAGAGTATATACACAAAGTGCAAGGAGGCACTTTAAAAGAAGAACATATAAGCTGCTGCTTATACGAAAGAGAAATGAACAAACCAGTTAGGTTTCTACAGAGTTTCTACACAGAGTGAAACACATGTACATATCGAACCACGATTCAATGACCTTGTTGTTACGGCGTCAGATTTATGCGAGTGCTGGAGGCAGAATTTCGTGTGCACTTGCTAAACAGACACGACCATAGCTTATGAACTAAAAAGAAAAATGTCTTTACGAGCTTATTCTTTTTTTTTTTTTATCTCTAAATCTGCTGCGTGAACAAAAACATTGGTAACCTTGTGAGGTAGGGAACAGCGGTCCTCACTCTGGGTGGAGTCAGAAGGTGGCGCTGTTTCCTCCGCTAACGTGCTATCCAATCCAGAAATGTCTTAGTCATCATACTGACTGCACTCTGCATGTGACATCTTCAAGGCAAGGTTGTCATATAGCAAAGATAAAATAAACAGTGTGAAATAAAACACAGAACAATGCACTGGCCCGCTGAGAGTTTGAGAGGCGTTTCTTTTTGTTTTTGAACCTCCAGCTTTCTTCTTCTCTTGCTCTCACACATAATCGTCCAGGATACAGGCAGACTTTTTTTTTTTGTTTTTTTTTCTTTTTCCTGACCACTAACAGAAATTCAGTGCATCACACATTAAAGAACATACAAAACAGAAATAATTCAGAAAGAAATAACCCCGGAGGGCACCCTTCATGTCCTCTATTTTCAGCTTTGCTCTCTGCAACACATTCTGTACCGGCTGCCACATTTAGAGGCCACGCCTTCCTCCTCTTAAGTCCTAAGCTTCTCTTCTTAGGCTTGACCGTGTGTGACATCAGGGAAATAATCCCGTAAGTCAAACAACAGTCAAAGGTATTGCAGTGTTTAAATGTCCTGCGCTTCCCCCTCGATGCCACAAGAGGCGCTGTTTCGTTTAGTTCATGCTTTTTTAAAAAACAAAATAATAATCTAGTTTGCAGTATTTTAAATCTTAAGCCCAGCAATCATTACAAGTCAGAGCATTTCAGAAATCATAAATACACAAAGCCATTCATAGTGCATAGTGCTAACTCCAGTTTTTTATGTTATCTCTCACTTGGTCCTTGTACTTTACTGGCAAGGCCATCGTTCACACATCATCTCTCTGCCGTTTAAACTACAAAAGAAAATGCTTTGATAGAAAAGAAAAAAAGAAAAGAAAAGAAGAGATGTTGCACAAGGTAGAAAGATTAATTTTGTTGTTGACAGGACGGGAAGCTTGCAGCAGCACCAAGTAAGGCCCTGAGTGATGTCAACTGAATTTCAGATTCCTCTGTAGATGAAACAGTTTGTGTTGTTGTCGGTGGCGCAAACGCTAAGTTGTTGATTCGTAGTTGCCCAGATGGGCAACCGACTGTCCCAACAGTTCGTCCTTGCAGTTACAGTTAACCCTTGATTTTGTTTTTGTGTGTGTGTTTTTGTGTTTATGTTGTTTTTTTTATTGTTGTTGTTGATTTTTTTTTTTTTTTGTGTCGGCAGAAAGCAAAAGCTGGTGAAACTCAGGGTAAGGTGCGGCGGCATCTGCTTTATCCGCATTTCCACGGTTCCTCTTCAACAAGAGAGAACTCTGCAGTGTTGCCATTTTTGCCCATGGTGACCTGAAAGCAATTACCAAGAAGAGCTAACTATAGGGGCCAAGGCACCGTTATTCACAGACCGTCAGCGGTTGGGAGCAGAGAAGCCATTACTTCATTACATTCAGGCCGTTTTGACCCAAGTTTAAGTTTGTGAGCATATAAAACACGTCGCCTTTGAAAACACTGATGGAATGAAACAGCGATTCTGTTTGCAAATCATCATCGTGGTCGTGTGCTTCGTTGCTGACATTAAAGCTCAAATAATTTCCCAGACTTGGCCATGTATTTTATGGATTCTCTCCCCAACCGAATTACATTCCTAGTACTCATGATTACACATGCAGCGAAATATCAACAGATGTTTGCTGATTTTTTTTTTTTTTTTTTTCAGAAATCTAGCAACAAAACAAATGATCTGAAAATAGGCATTTCATGAATGTATGCATCACTTTGGATGAGATCCGGTGAAACAGCAGTCTTTATGTGTACCACTAGCAACAAAAAAGTCTTTGAAAAGATGCCCAATGATTTAAAAACTGTAATTTGGTCAGGGCTGCCATAAATACATGTCCAATTAAGTAGACAAAAGAAAAAAAATAAATACATAAAACAACAAAATACAAGTCAAATAAAAACAAGACAATGCATTGGGTGTGATTAATGTGTAAAAATAAACACTTTGGGTTTCATGAGATGATGATGATAAAAAAAAGCTTTCGGTGAAGCTGGTATCACAAAAACTGCTTTTTCATACGACGCACAGGTGAATCAATAAACTTTTAGCTTTTCACCACTTTTTAAAAAAAACATCTTCCTCGATCTGACACTTACTAAACACAAACACAGCGACGCTGGAGGTCACACCAACAGGAAACACGAGCACAGACACGAGTAGACGAACACGGAGCTGAGGGAGGACCTTCTACATGCACGTCTCTATGTCCGTTAACGTGAAATGTACCTTGCAGTCGTCTATCAAGATTGAGTTGTGGTGAGCGTATACATTCTGGTTGGAGTTATTTTCAAAGAACGACTGCGTCTTTGCCATCTCGAAGTCGTCGAGCCGGCTCTGCTGGGCGTCGTACATGTCCAGCTCGTCTTTGGAGAGGTGGTACACGATTCCCGCTCCGTACGAGTCTCCCACCACGTTGACCGAGGTACGGAAACGATCCCTGAGGGTCCAAGAGCAAAGGGACATCTAAGAACAACACCTATATTTAAAAATGTAATTGTCTTTTTAGCTTCAGTCCACTACTGTGCTTTAAGACAAAACTATGAAGAGACATTCATGGTCCCCAGATGATGAATCTCAACCTTTTCTTCTGGAGTCAGTGTGAAGTTTTGTGTGAATTTTTTCAAAAACTTGGATGGATTGTGACACAATTTTGTCTCTCTCACATCTCCGGATGATTTCTAATGACCATTACAGTTTAATCTGGCATTATCAGGTCAAAACTTCTTTTTTTTTTTTTTAATGCTTTCAAAATTGAAATGTCTCAAGAACTGTTGAGTTGTTTGACATAAACTTGTGAAGACGCATTCCTAGTTCCCAGAGGATAAATCTTAATGATTCTGATGATTCTTGGACTTTTAAGTAATGAGGTTTTGTGTGAATTTGGATCAAATGCCACAAATTTCAACATTCTCACTCCTCCTGTTGATGTCTAATGACTTTGGTGATCCGTTACCATTTAATCTGGCTTTATCAGCTCAAAATTTCTATTTTTTCAGCAATTTGTACGTCAGTTTGTCCAACATGTTGGATGATTTGACTCAATCCATCGTGTTTATACGCTACTGTTAAGCAGAAAAAGGAAACATATACACAAAAGTAGGGGCGTATAAATAGTTAAATTCCTAATTTGTTCAAATTATTAGGAGAATTTCCAGCTTTCATGTGTCTTACTCACAGCTAACAGATAGCCTGCATGATATCTGTAATTAGGCGAGTGTGTAGGTGGCAGCAGCGAAGTGATATCAGGGCTGAAACCTTTTGTCTGGTTTTGCAAACGTTTCATGTAGTTATTGACTATGTTTGTGGAATTAACACAAAGATTTCACTGAGTAGGAGTAACGAAGAAGATTGTTTTTCTTCTGAAAACTTGCATAAGTTGTTTTTGTGGTTGTTTTTTTACACCCCCTAAACATATGTTAGAGTCCAGCCGAACACGCACGGCGCTCGTTTTACATCTGCAGACATCTGTAAATTCAAACTATGGTCTGTTTTTGAACATGTGCAGCTTTGGAAGGAGTAAAATAACCTGCCAGAAAGTCATCAGACCGCAGACAAATAGCAAAAAATGTCAATCAGCTGAAGAAAACTGTTGTTGGTGTTATTACTGTCTTATTATAAAGCTTTGTGCGGCTTCACAGTGGAAGAAGAGAGGGTTTTTCTTGGTTATATAAAACAAGACAACTAAACTAAAAGCCCCTGCGCAGTGTCGTAATGCGTCTGTATGTTTTTAACAGTGCCGGCAGCGGTGTTGATGTGGAGCTCACAGCAGCCAGTCGACAGCCACCAGGAGGCTGATGTCCTGAGTGGGCAGCCCCACCGCCGTGAGGATCAGGAGCATGGTCACGAGTCCAGCGCTGGGGATGCTGGCTGCTCCGACGCTGGCCAAGGTGGCTGTCATACTAAATAGGAGACAAATTCAGCTCTCAGTGGGAGGACGGAGAAAAGGCTGCAAGGCTCAAGTATAATCAGAACATACTATTACGTGAAGTAAACTGCTAAATCACAGGGTTTCTTGGGGGTTTTAATGAGGAAAAACTACAGTTTGTGTCGCCATATCCTCTCTGCAGCCCCGTTCTCACCTCACAGTAACAATCTGGCCCCAGTCGAGCTCGATGCCGTTCATCTGAGCGATGAAGATGGCCGCCACCGCCTCGTACAGCGCCGTGCCGTCCATGTTGATGGTGGCGCCCACCGGGAGCACGAAGCGCGTCACCCTCTTGTCGATGCCCAGGTTCTCCTCTAAGCATCTGAATGTGACGGGCAAGGTGCCGGCGCTGCAGCAAGAACAACAAAAAATGTATTATGGCGATCACGAACAGTGTGCGGAGAGATTCAGTTTGCAAACTTTGCACCCAATTTGGTGGTAAAAAAACAAAACTTGCAGGAATAAAGAACAAATTATAGGCTGCCTGTTGAGAGTTAGTTTAAATGGGGCACACTTGCAATAGATTTTAAATTTAATTACACCATTCTTCTAATCATAGTGAAATAAATTCACTCTGAACTATGCTAATTTATTCATTCTTGTTAATTTTTTACATAAAATTGACTCATAGAGGCTGAAGCTTGTCTCGACTTCAAATTCTCCGGAAGAAACGCAAACTAACTTCGACTCGCGTTTGAATTCAACTCAAGCGTGAACTTCACGGGGACGGCAGCGGTTGTGGCTCAGCAGTTGCTCTGCTTGTTTTGTCTGAAAATTAAGTGTTTTTTGGGCTTTTTTTTTTTCTCGAAGAGGCAGGAACTGTAAAAAAAAAAAAAGCTAAGCTCACCTCAGGAGAGAAGAAAAGAGTGAATCTCCTGCCGTTAATAAAACATAAAGGAAAAACATCCCACATGGAGGCCAAGCCAGAAGGTGTTGCTTTCCAGAAAACTTCTCAGCTACCACTTTGTGTGAAAGCTACTGCTGCCCGTCAGTGTAGTGTGAAAGAAGCCTGAGTTAGAGATGCGTCATAAAACCCGTCGTACCTGGACGCCGTTCCGAGCGCCGTGACCCAGGCCTGGAAGATTCCCATGAAGAACTTGAAGGGGTTTTCTTTCACTATCACAAAATAGATCAGCGGAAGGAAAATCCCTCCGTGGATGATGAGGCCCACTATCACCGTTATCATGTACATCCCCAGCTGCCGCGCCACCATCTCCAAGTCGGCGATGGAGATGATCTTTCCGCAGATGAGGCAGGCGATACCGACAGGAGAGTACCTGAAGATAGACACAGTGTCGTACTTTTATATCATACAGGCAGCGTTTATTGATGGGATGCTACACATAAATATGTATTTGTAGCACAGGGGAACGGTCGGGCAGCTCGTGCTCTCGGTGAACCGCACTCACCACATAATTGCGCTAACGAGCTTCATAATGATCTCATTCAGGACGTTGAAAAACTCCAACATGAGCTTGGCCTTCTCTCCCATTTTGCCCATAATGACTCCAAAAGCGACAAAGAATCCAATCAAACCTGGAAGACACACAATGCAGTAATTCAGTGAGCACCAACGGTCCAGTTCAGTTACAGTCCGCATGCAATCTAATCCTGGATGTGGGAAAATACAAACCTAACAACGAAATTTAAATACTTCTCATGAAAAGTACAAGCAAAAGTAGAACTAATAAAGCTGCAGCAGGAAGTTCAGCCGGATTCATGGTAATACGGACCCAGGGAGGTTTTGTTTGTTTTCTTTAGCAGCATCCTGCTTCCTGATGTTTTTATGCGACTGAAAATAAAAATGTGTTTCTTCAGCTGTGCAGAGCCTCCAAACTTTTTCACCTACCCAGGACGTTCATCCCACTCTTGAACTGAAGCGACCTCTTGACGGTGAACTGCGGAGGTGCTTTGGTTCTGTTGGTGGGCACCGGTACCTTGGTGATTACCGTCTGGATCTGGATGACAGGAAAAAAAAAAAGAGGAAGAGAACAAGCAGTTGGAGCGTTTGGCGTATGATTCAGGTTGTGTTTTATTTTCTGTCGTGGTGGGTGAGCGCTTCCTCCTACCTGCTGGAAACAGGCCTGCACCAAGTTCTCCGGGAAGAGGTTTCGGATGAGATCGAAGAAGGCGTCCACGCTGGACACCTCGTCGTTCTTCTTCCCCTGTCCCAGGTTGGCCCTCAGCTTCGGGTTGCCTGGATGGATGAGCAGCACCAGGATCACTCCCAGGACGGCCGCGATCACCGTCGTGGACATGTAGTAGACCATGGCCCTGGTTCCCAGGCGGCCGCTGGATTTGGCGTCCAAACCGGCCAGCCCTGTTGGCATAGACACAGGAACATAAATACTCTAATGACTAATAGCAGACGGTGACTAATTAAGTTTTAGTTTGAGCCGAATTAAGAAATTAACAAGGTGCTGTGATCGTGACTTATCTGTTTGTGAAGACAAATAATTTGGAAAAAAAATTAATTCTGCACAGAAATATTAGGAGTGAACTGTTTCCAAAGTGACTGAAACTCTCAGAAGAACAGATCTACACACACTTTAGTGATATATTTGTACTTAACGACACAAAAGTAATCATAAAAAAGTTAAATGATGCTGTAATCACTGCAAGTTTGTTGGAAAAAAATATTCATAATAAGTTCAATATCATCTGCAAACACATTTATTTTACAACCTTCCCCTTTTTACTTAAGAAAATATAATAGAAAATAAACATATTGTGGTTATTATTATTTCCTAGAAAACCTATTTATTGTATAGAAGCATAAACACGAGGAGACGGTGCAGAAGAAAGTTGTGAAATCTCAAGATTGTGGGAAAATAACACGGTTTGTGTGTCTGCAAGCTGCAACATCATCATCATCAAATCAGCAAAGTCGCAGCGCTGCAGTGGTGGATGATTATAGTGTCGTATTGTCTCAACATAATGTGTGTGTTTATAAAAGTGTGGCTTGATAAAGGAAACCGAGGAGTCGAGCGAGTTAGTTTATACGCTCAGTAACAGCATTTTGCGTGATTATTAGACACTGTGTCCAAAATTACATTCATTTATGGAGCAGGTGCTTCAGACGTACATCATGATTTAAATCAAGTCTACAATAACCAGCACAGCTATGAAGCACAATAAAAAGGTGTTTTTCTACATTTTTCTGATGTTTTCTTTTCTAAATTTGCATTATTGTGTATTTTAGTGGACATGCTGCCAACACAGCAGGCACACAGCTAACTAGGTCTGTTTACAGACTTAACAATGGATTTTATAGTTTTTTTCTGAAATCGCATGTGGTTTCCGCTGAAACTAGTTTTTCCAGGTGGAAAAACAGTAACATCTGTGTTGTTGTGCTCTGCGTGCCTCCTGTCCTCCACACTGCTTTTTCTTCTCTCCACAAAAACAGGAATTTTTAAGAAGCGTTTCTCAGTTTTGCCAGAAAAAAAAAAAAAAGTAAAATATACCCACTCTCATCTCAGCTCGACTCCCAGGTAACAACGAGTGCAACCTCATTTCAGGACAGTCGTGTGCAAGTTCAGCGGCGTTGTGCAGCAGCAGCAGCAGTGACTGCATCTCACCCACCTGTGACCAGGCTGGAAACGACGAGCGGCAAAATAAGCATCTTCAGCATCCTCATTAGGATCTCCCCGGGGAAGGCAATGATCATTATAACGTCGGCGGGGAGGGGCGATATGTGCCGCAGGAGCATCCCGGCGATGGAGCCCAGAAACACACCTGAGAAGGTTGAGCGAAAAGAACAAATCAAACACAGAAGCCAGGTGACGAAGAAGCTACGCAGCTTTTTATTTGGATCAACAAGTGTCCAAACGACACAAAATCTTCCATCTGTGCTCATCAGAGACTTAATTAGCCTTTCATCTGGTGTGTTGTCTAAAGACACCGTGATGATTGTGTGAAACTAAACTTCATGAGGTCACATGTTTCAGCTGACTTTAGTTGATGTGTTTCCCTGGTTACGGCACATCTACTGGCAGATATAGAGTAGAGAAAGAAAAAAAAGTTGAAATCAATTAATTTATTTTAGACAAAACCTTTTCTCCTTTGTAGAGCTTTTTCTTTTTTTTGATATATTCAAATTAAATATTAAAGTTAACTGTCGCTTCAATGTATTGCAACGTAATTTAAATGACCCAGAATATAACGAGACAGTCTCCTCTTATGAATGTGTGCTGTTTGAACATCAAGAGAGGAGCTGTGAACACATTTCATATTTAAATGGTGAGGAAAGGAAGGTGCTGGACCTAATGAGTCTTCTGAGTGGATTATTTCTAATATGTAGGTGGTTTTCTTCCTATTCAGCCCAAAGACATGCAGGTGAGCTCGTTTACGGCGGAGAAAAAAATCCTCCCACATATTAGAAATAACATCTCACCCGACCTGAAACTTGATTGATTCGGATGCTGCATCAACAACATGAGATTTTTGGCAGAGCTGTGGGTTTAAATTGGACAGATTTTTATAGTTTTTTAAAGTCTTATTGTTGCATGGTTGACTTCCTCTGACTAGTTCTTATTGATTGCATGCTACAGTCTAGCATAGTTTCGCAATTAATGATTTAATTGCTAACAAGCGGAGATGTGTGGATTCATAAAATGATATCTGATGTAAAGTCTAACAGCCTCTACCACAGATAAATAATAAGATTGATCTTTCTCTTCCTCTGCCTGCCTCTCCTGATGTCTTCTGACTATTTATGAGTGTTTTTAACGCCTCGATGAACGATCTGAACGTCGCCCACTCACATGAGAACACTAAACTTGGGTGTAAAATATGGAAGTTAAACCATAAACACCACCGTGATAATGCAATTTTCTATATATAACTTTAATAAGTTCTCCTGTCATACAGAAAACATCATAAAAACTGCAATTATTGGAAACTGAGGAAAGAAAAGATCGGTCAGATAGCAGCGTATTAAATCATGATGCTATCTAACAGGATGCGAGTGTTTTGGGACTCCCGGTGCAGACGATGAGAGCCGCTGGAAACTTCAATCTCCACCGCAGCTTTTTATCTTTGCCCGCCTGCTGCCCACGCCTGCTCTTGTCCACTTTCCAAGTGTTCATTTTTTTTTTATTTTTTGGAAGACACTCGCTGTCTGAATTTCACCGCACTCTGTCTCCAAATCAGCTAGCGGAGGACGTGCCTCGCGGCGAATCCAACAGATTTCGCCGTGCTTCTCTCACATCTGTAAACTTTTTTTCGTGTCACGACGCGTGATTGGTAACGCTCCAGCCCATCTGAGACCCTGAATGGGACGTAGGAGCAACATGACTGCAAACCTACCAAGGATTGTGAGAGTGAGAACCATGTTCTTCATGATCTTGTCACAGAAAGAGCTGCAAAAGCCCTCAGAAGTGTCCACGATTGGCTCCAGGTGGCTCTCGTCCATCCTGACCTCCACTTGCTTCTGCATTTTGTTGGCACTGAAACAGAAAAGAAGAGCTGGCGTTAATAACCGATGCATTTTTGATCACAAAACAGCACGTTTAGTAATGAAAAATGATGTTTATTTGCAGCCAGAAGGAGCCATAAATGATAGAAATATTCCATTCTTGCTATGTGGCTTTATGCACAACGGCCTTGTGCTAAAACAGGCTTTATAATTCACATATACAACTCAGAAAGGAGTCGGGTGTAGGTGGAACGGGGTGCACGAGGGCAACATCCTCCGCTGTAATGTCCTGGGGTTTCCAAGCAGCCGTGTTTCCAGCTTGTTTCTGCATAATTGGCGTTGTTTGTTGGAGGGAGGCCAGCGAGGGATCATGTTTTTGTCGCTGTTTAAGCGATTCCTGCGTTTTGGCCGAGATGCACGCACAAGTAAGTGTGGGAACAGGGAGGATAATGTCAGCCTCCCACAAATGATGCCGTAGCTCACTACTGGCAGGTGAAAATAAAAATTGATTGGTGACACTATGGAGGAGACTCGTGGTCGTCTTCAAGCTCAATAGTTCAACGGCAGCAAGCAGTGACTACAAGCATCTGAGAGAGAAGTACAGCTCACCAAAAACAGGAAACAGAAACTGTGTTCCAGTGGCATTATGTTGAGATGCTGTTTGTTTTTGCGGCTACAAAGCTTTCCCGGCGTCATTAAGCGCTTCGCGGAGACACGTGATTAATTTCGGGCTAATTCTGCGCGCTCTGCATTCGGAACGCATGCAAAGTGGGGGGAAAAGTTTTGCAGATGGCCTTTCAGAATTAGCAACTGACATTCCCAGACAATTACCACAGAATCAATAAGGAGCCTGTGTATAATCTGCATCTTAAACAAATCATTGCCGTTTTTCTCGGTGAATTCGAACAAACACAACACCAGCTGTTCCTCACATCCTCCCCTCTGGTGCCGCTGCTGCTTGATGTCTTCGCGTGATAATGTATGATAATTCCAGATATGCTGTTTTTGTGTTAAAGCGCAGATGTGAGGCCTGCATGTTTGGTTTAAAACTGTCTGACTGGCTGGACATTTTTTACATTTGGTATTTAAGTGTTGTGTGTTTTGACTTCCTGGACGTTAATTACAGATCACGAGCTCATCCACCCGACTTCGACGTACGACTCCATCGTGCCACCGAAGCAACACGTATCTCGGGTTTGTTGTGGTCTGGCGTAAAGCCTCTTTGACTTAAAGATCAACTCTCCCCTGTGCAGCCTCTAAATCCTCTGTAGAGTACAGACGTACATGGTTATGTAACAGCGATCACCCGTGTCTTTTGGATAACCTTGGCGCCTCGAACACCTGGAATCAACATCAATTTTTGGCCGCAAAAAAAAAAAAAAACACAAACGTCTTCCAGCGTAGGTTCTGGGTAACGAGGAAGATTCTCCTCCATCGTACATCCTCCCCTGTAGATGACAATCCCCGGCTGATGGAGCCGCACAAAGCTTTACTTATATGTGTGTGTGCGTCACAGAAACATATTGCGCTCTTATTTCCACATTCAGCAACATATGCTTCAAGTATTTCCCTTCGGTACAAGACATGAAAGGTAACAGTAAGGTGAGGACAGAACCGCTGCCAAGTCAATCACGCCTGTCTGATACACTGTGCTCTAGCATTAATGAGACTTAAGCCCGTTAGAGAGGATAAAATTAGCACCCCGCAGCACACAAGTGATTGAGTTATGTAACAGAAAAGGGGCTTCCCAGGAAAAGTCAAGGTGTCACCATCACCTGCCTCCAAGCGTTACGCAGGAGATTACTCACTTCGATTGCAAACCAAACTTCTCATGGTTTTGGTTCAGATATAAAATCAGTGGACGAACCGTTTAAGAGCGTAGAAAAGAATCAAGAGTTTGCAGAATTAGTAGACGTTTTTCGATAAGTTCAGGAATATTACTGTTAAAGGGAAGTCGAGATAAACACTGTCAAGATCAAACCAAAAGCACAAAGTATCTGTTCCGCATTCAGAGAGCAACGATGAAAACAAATCTATTCAACGCATTGCCGGCGCAACTGTAGATGTAAAATTGACAGAAGCGTACCCATATGGCATTTATTTCTGGATATAACAGAAGACAGTTATTATTGCATCTTCCCACGGTAAAGTCAAGGTGTCGCCACCATCTGCCTCAAAGTGTGATGCAGGAGATTAGATTCTAAACTTCAGTGAACAAGCCAAACTTTTTTTTTTCTTTTACAGCTTGGTAATTGGAAATCAGTGAACAAACCAGTTCGGTACCAAAAGAAGTTGAGGGACATTACTATTAAAAGGCACAAGATGCACTCCGCCAAGATCTCTGGATGTGAGGCACGGAGCGTAAGTTCTGTATTTACAAAGAAAATGATGAAAAAATACTATTTACTGCATCACCAAGGACACTAGAGAGGACTACTAGAGATGTAAAATTGGCAGAAGCGCACTCTTGTGGCATTTTTATTTCTGGATCTAACAGCTTATTATTGCATCACGGCTGCATCAGTTTCTTTGGAAAAGGAACTCTTAGACGGCGCTTCGATGGCACCTCTTCAGCGCCGATTGCTCTGATGACTCATCTCCAGCTACCACCACATCACTACGCTGCTACTCAGAATGCTTACCGGTTGTTTTGTACGTTGCCCGGGAATGAAATCGTTACTTGTGGAGAGGTGCTACACGGCCAATGGCGTCAGCGTGAAAATTAACAAAGTCATGACTCATGCATTAGTAAATCCAGTCAGAACCTTGAAAAACAAAACAAAGAAGAAAAACCTTCCTTTGGACTCTTCAGCAAAGGGCTCTTAAGTTGTTTAAGAAAAAAAGAAAAAGCCTGCAGATCACTTCTTCCTCAGCATTTGATGTAAATCCACAACCTGCTCATTCAGCTGCTGGGAGGTGCATGAAGGTAAACTGACGAACCTGGAGGTCTGACAGGAGGCTCCCAGACAAGAAGGGTGGAGTCATCCCGCTAAGATTAGCCGGGCACTGGAAATCCCTGTTGCTGCCCTTTTGCTGTTTTGTTTTGCTCACTCGTCTTTGCAGCGTTTCAGTAATTCATCAAACACAGTGTGGAAAGCTCGTTTTTAAATGTCCAAATGATGCACTTGCAGGACTCGAGTACAGACGCTTAGGATTCACAAAATAAAAAGTACTATAGTGGCTTCTTCCTTTTGTAAAGATACCAGAGCTGTTAAAACTACAGGTCACTTAGAGGAGATGTTGTCAGTAGAACAGTTTATAATTCACTTTATTATATCACATCTTGTCTTTCAAGACTGTGTGCTGCTCATTGGTGCTACTGACCAGATTGAAAACAAAAAATAAAGGTAGACTTAGTTTATTAAATGCCACAAGAGCAAGAATTTTACATGACTTGTGTCTGCTTTTCCTTGAATGCTAACTTTTGTGCACAGTTAATAACGGCTGATCAAACGCAACCTGGGATTTAAAATAACTTTGCACAAATTTCCACTAATGAAAAGGTCTTCGAACTATAAAAACTGATTTATTTGCAATTTTATTGGCATGATTCTTTAATATCTGAACCGCTTAAAGGAACAACTTCCAGATTAGCGAGCAAAAGAGCTTCGAGGGAAACTCGTTAAGAAGGATGAAAGTTGTTTATTAGAGCAAAACAGGAAGAAACTGCTTTCTTTCTGTCTTCGTTTTTCGAATATTTAATCAGTTAATGCTCGTATTTGGTTAAGATTTCCTGTTTCCGATCAGTTCTAACGGCGGTTTCAGCTTGTATCTGCTCCTCGGCTTAAACCAACACGGCGTTGCTCGATGGCTTGATGGAAGCAAATAAAATTAGATTGCATGTTTGTTGTGCTCCGATAATGTGACGCTGAACGTTACTTGTGTTGCTCTCAGACGGAGATTTTTTTTTTTTTTGCTATTTCCAAATTAAACAGACGAAACTTAGCATAGCAACAGCGGCGGCGGTGAGCTGGGTGTTGATTGGAGGCAGAGGTGCAGCTGTTTGGCGCTGCTCAGTGTCATTATTTTCCTCCTGGAAGTGACCGAGGCTCCACGTCGCCTCGCACACAAACACTTTCACACGCTGATGCTGTTGCCATGGCAGCAACGTTTGTTTTTTTTCTAATGTGGCTTTGTTATGTGGACATTACAAAGATAATGTCGGCCGATGCAGTTTATCAGTTTTGGCAGTTGTCACGCTGCCGAGAATCCGGCGATCAATTATGAAAGGAGCAAATAGCTGCTTGGAGAACCGGGCCTGTTACCGCTGCAGAGCTGCTGCTGGGTGTAGGTGTGCCGAGTAGGTGACACTGGAGCGTGTGTGAAGATTCCAATTACCGAGCGGCTCTTAGGGCATGAGCAGGGGAGAGGAGAAGGCAATCTAAGAGCACATGGCAGAGCATTCGTCCACACCTCGCCCCGCCTTTTCTCCCCTCGGCCAGCAGGCCGCCTCATGCCGCAACACCTGACAACACGGCGCCACGCTTAGACAGCAGGTGTCTATAATTAACTAATCTGTCCTGAGCCACGCTAATCCAGCACACATACACACCGAGATGGATCAGACACACCTCCGAGTTCCCTGAAATCTTACCAGATATTGTTTCTTACAATCCTAAAAGCGAGGACTCGAAATCTTTTGGGCGCTTTTTGTCGTTTAATCGCGGCGGATCTTGTTTTTGTTGTTTTCAGATAATAAACCAGTTTAACAGTAACACGTGTAAAATGGAAGAAGAAGAAAAACTGAATATTGAGAGAGTGTCTTTGTGAACTCTGCTGCTCTGGTGCTTCAGTGTTTGCACACATCTCTGCCCTAAGTCCCAAACACCTCCAATAATCCTCAGGACCACCAGCATGGAGCCCACCGGCTGATGTGCTCAAAGGTTCTTAGAAAAAAAATTCTTTAAACTTTTAATTTCCAATCAGCTGGTACAAAAAAGCAACAACCTTTAACTGCAAGGTGGATGAAAAAAAATCTATTCATGTCTTTGAATCATTGAGAATTTGCGAGTGCTTCTCCT